GAGTTGCTATAAAAATAAAATGAGATAATGTGTGTCTTCGTTCATTTGGGTTGCTTTAACAGAATATCACAGACCGGGTGGCTTATAAGCAACAGAACTTATTCACAGTTCTGGAGGCTGTGATCATGGTCACGGTGTCGGCAGACTTGCTGTCTCGTGAGAACTTGCTTCTCGGATCACAGCCGGCTGCCTCTGGCTGTGTCCTCACATGGTGGAAAAGTGAGGGAGCTCTCTGGGGTCTCTTCTTTAAAGGGCACTGATTCCATTCATGAGGGGCTCTGCCTTCCTGACATAACCACTTACCAAAGACCCCACTTCCTAATACAATTACCTTGGAGATTAAGATTTCAACATAGGAATTTGGGGGGACACAAACACTCAATCTAAAGCAGTGTGAAAAATGCTTAGCACAGTAGCATGTGGAACGTGCTTAATCAAGGGTAGTTCTTATAAAAATAATAACACGCTTATTAGAAAAAACTTGGAAAATCTAGAACGACACAAAGAAGAAAAAAGCCTATCATCTACAAACCTACTAGTCTACATTTAGCATTGCTAGGTGTTTTGGTTTCTTCCAGGCTTTTTACTATTCATATTCGCACGCATAAAACTGTGATTACACTATACATACATGTCATGTCTCTTCATTTACTATGAATTAAGCATTTTTACTTTTCATTCAATTGTGTTCAAAAGTGTACTTGTTAATAGATAACATGGGGCGCCCGGGTGGCTCAGTCAATTAAGCGTGCAGCTTCAACTCAGGTCACGATCTTGTGGTTCATGGGTTCGAGCCCTACATGGGGCTCTGTGCTGACAGCTTGGAGCCTGGAGCCTGCTTCAGATTCTGTGTCTCCCTCTCTCTCTGCCCCTCCCCTGCTCATGTTCTCTCTCTGTCTCTCAAAGATAAAGAAACATTAAAAAAAATTTAAAAAGATAACAAACCATCACGCAAAAGCTTTATACAGAAATTACTTAACCATTCTGTCATTGCTAGCCACTCAGGTTGTTTCCAATTTTCCAGCAGTACGTAGAACACTGTGATAAACACGCAAACAAGCTTTGCTTGAGCCTTAGCTTATTTCCTCAGGCTTCTTTCTCAGAAGGGGAATTGTTGGATACAGGGGAGAATCTTATAAAGACTCTTGGTCATAAACTACAGACCGTTGTTCAGAAAGATTCAGGCAACGTGTTCTTCCTCCAGTGATGTCTGAGTGTCTGAATCACTGCACCCTTCTCAGCAATTAGGGGCGTACATCAGAACGGCCAAGTTCAGCAGTGGGGCTGCAGCCTCTGCTGGGGGCCTGGCCTTCCATGTGGCCACACATGCCAAGAGCTTTAGCAATGTTCCTGAACAGTCGGGCCAGGCAGGGGAGCAGAGCTGGAGGCAAAACCGCATGGGGTGGCCCCACCGCGAGCAGATCCTGCTCGCCTTGCCCTCCGAACAAAGCGCAGAACAAAGGAACTGCTCTACTTTGGGGATTTCAGTTGGAAACGAGGAGGGACTTTCTGTCCATGAAGAGCACTAAATACAGGAACTGGGACCTTTCTGGTTCTTCTGCTTTGGAGGTTTGGAGGGGCAGAGAATGCTCAGGGCCAGATGCATGAACAGGAGGACAGGATGAGCCTTGGCCTTAGTATATATGCTTGAAGTACCCGGCAGTACCAGTGAGGAACATGCCAGCAAGACGAGGTGATTGGGTGGGATCACTGAGTCCCTACCAGTGCCAGCCACCGGGTTAGAGGGGTCTTCCATGCACTATCTACCTTGAACAATAAGTAAGTCCAAGAAGGCCCTGCTTTGGCTTCATGAAGGACCTTGGCTGGTCCCTGGCAACTTGTCCAGGTAGGTAGTTCCTAGATGTTCTGGCCAGCTTAGGCTTCCTCCCCCTTTCTTTTCAGTCTTATTATTATTATTTAAGTTTTTTATTTATTTTTGAGAGAGAGAATGAGCACGAGTGGGAGAGGGGCAAAGAGAGAGGGAGAGAGAATCTCAAGCAGGCCCCACGCCATCAGCATGGAGCCCAGTTCGGGGACTGAACCAACAAACCACGAGATCATGACCTGAGCCGAAATCAAGAGTCAGACACTTAGCTGACTTGAGCCACCCAGGCGCCCCAGTCCTTCCTCTTTCTGAATCCATCACCCAACCACCATCCTAGGTGGCCTATAGTCACCTGGTGAATGTCTGTCAGGTCCTCAGGACTGTGGCTGTAAGATCCCCCTCTGCGAACATCAGTCCGGGTACCTGGAAATTCAGTGCTGTCCTCACTTCCTTCCCCACCTGCTCTTTCCCTCCTTTTCCCCGCAGGCTTCCTCCAGACCTTTGGAATAGGAAGGCAAAGTGGAAGGCAGAGGGAGGCAGAGGCTACTGAGATCAACCACTGCCCGAAGTCAGACAGACCAGGAAAATCTCACAGGGTTCACACACACCCACAGTCCTTGGGCGGGGGGCTGGGTGGTTCGAGATCTTGTTTACGACAGCCCTGTCTTCCACCTCCTATCCTTAGCCTTAGCCCTTCCCTAAAGGCTGTTTGCTTCAGGCATGGCCCTGCTCCTACTTATCTCCTAGTGAAAAACACTCTCCATTACCTCACTCAAGCAACTATTGAAAAATCCTCCCTTATCCAGGCTGCCTTCCTGAATTGATCCACAGAAAGGTGATCACATGGCCCAACCCCACTCTATCTAAACACTAAACGCCTGTGGCCCTCATCCTTGGCCCTCGTATAAATGTCCCTAAGCTAGAATCTATGTCTCTGATTGCAGACTGTCACTCTCCTGACTTGTTATCTCATGAGGTTTTGGTTTAAGCTATTTGTGATGCTCTCCAGAGGCCCTGAGAGCAAGCAAGTTGTTGCTGGTAAAACTGTATGAATGTCCTGAAATACAGGGTCTCACCACCTCCTCCTACCATCACCGAACTTTTTTTTTTCCCTCTCTTTTGGCAGTACTTGTTGTCATGGAGATTCTAACACAATGGGGCAGGTAGGAAGCCTGTTGCTTGGCAACGAGAGGCTGGAGGTACAGGATTGGCTGCTGAAGTCTAAGGGAGCAGAAAGGATGATAAGGGAAGGTGGGAAAGTAGAGAAATACCCTGGGGGGGACACAAAGGCACAGGAGAGAAGCAGAAGACAGGACCAGGGTGAAGAGAGAAAAATAGAAACGAGAAGAGAGAACACACAACCTCCCTGGAGCTGGGTCACCAACTGTGTATTTGCTTGGATGCCCTCAGCAAAAACAACAAGGCAAAACAAACACATACTAATATATTTTCATAGCTGCATTGACATTGTAGCACAAAGAGTGGAGATTTAGACAAAAAGAAGTTCCTAAATATCAGAGTGGGGAAATTCTACGGGGGAGACTCTACTGCACAGTGGAAAGATGACAGGCTTTAGATAAAACACATGGATTTGACTCTCCACTCTACCCAGTCCTTGAAGTGTGGCCTTCTCAAGCAACATAACCTCTTTGAGCTCTGGTTTTCTCATCTTCAAAATGGGAACAGCGACATGTATCTCACAAGGCTGCTGCAAGACTCAGTGCCAATGTGATGAGCACTGGCCGTAGTGGGAGCTCAGGAAGGGGTCAATCACATGGTTACAGTTGTTGGCCTTTTGTGACCAACTACCCACTGTTGTCTTAATTACCATGACTATGACCAGAATTGACAGCTGTGTGGTGGGGTAGAAAGAGCCCTGTTCCCAATGTCCAAAGACCTGGCTTCCACCTGTACCAACACAGCCTACAGTCTGAGACTCAGGCAAACTATTAACCTTTCTTGGTTGAGTTGCCCACCTATGAAATGGGTATAATAATCTCTCCCTCAGAGTGTCATCAGGAGGATCACGTTCAATTAGGTTGGTCAAGAACCTATCCCAATCCTGAGCACCTGTGGATGTCTTACATGCTGGGCGCTCTGACTCCTAACACCAGACCTGGGTCTGCTCTCTGCAGTGGAGACCTATAGGTCTGGGCTGAGGTCACTCTCAATCCTTCTTCAAGGAAGGGAAGGGTTCCATGGTGCCTGGGTGCCATTCCTAGCACCCAAATCACATGTAACTATGGCGAGAGAGTGGAAGAGAGAACACAGAGGCATGGAAGACAAAGCAAAGGCACATCCTCCAGGTTCATTTCCAAGTAAATTAATTTTGCCAAAGCAATGACTTCTGTCACCAGGAGCAAAGGCAGCAGGGGGAGACCTGACAATAGTTACAGGTAAAAGTGTACAACCATCATTTCTGTATATTTCACAATGATGAGCATTTCCATGCTGGGGCCACATAAGGACTGCTCATGAATATGGAAGTCACCACGTCATAGAAGAGGGCAGGACTGACCTATGTTACCCCGGGCAGGTAGAGCTTTGGCGAACCACTGGATGCCTCCCAGGAAAGAGATACCATAAAATCCTTTGGGGGCACATGAAATTCACAGGATTATTCTTGATGTCTAGCCTAAACTTTTTCTGTTGTAATTTTCAGTTCAGCCTTTCTGCTTCTGTCCTTAGAGAGCAATTTAACTGGCTGAGGAGGCAACTGTCTCACCAGCTTCTAGGTTCACTCCAGGACTGGAGAGGCAGGCAGGAGGGCAGTGACTCACACAGATGCTGTTTAATTCAGCTGTCTCACTGTCTACAGTGCTTCCCGAGCTCTCGCCCCCAGCACCCCACATCCCTCTGTGGTCTCGAGGCTGACTTTCCCAATAATGTCAATAGGCATCAGTGGGATGTGGGGACCACTTCTGCTTGGCCTGAGCCAGACCTGCTAGGATCGGGGAGGCGGAGAGTGGGGGCTGAGTGGGCCTGGGGAGAGCCAGGGGGAGTGTGAACCAGAGGGGTAGCCAGCTCCTAGCTCTGCTCCTCTCAGAGCACCCCAGCCTAGAGCAGCAACTTCCTCTGAGCGCTTCTCTTGGGGGGGGTGGGGCTCAGAAGGTCTGCCCTGTGGCCTGAGCCTGCAGGACCTTAAGTGATTTCACATACGAAAAGATGATTTAGAGAAGGATTAATTGCAGCTTCAAGAACACAGAGTTGCTTTAGCTCTGATGGTGTCTAGTTCATTTTCTCCTGCACTGGGAGGAACAAGAAGAAAAAAAGGCTGCAACCGCAGCAGCAAGAGAGATTTAGGGAAAACTTGGCCTTGACAGTGACTGGGTAGGAGAGAACAGCCCTCGGACACTCATGGCATGGGCCAATTGTTTAGATCAGGGAGATTTTCATTCTGGACCCTTAAAAGGTGGATTTTTACAAAACCACTCATTCCGTCTGGTGGGTCAGGTGTGGGGCGAGTGTGAGAAACGTACATAATGAGCTCATCTTGAGGTGCTATGGGGAGCAGCGGCTAACCTGAGCTAAAGAGGGTTTGGTCATTTCCAAAGGGCTGCTGGAGATAGCACTGTGGCTGCATGAAGGAATGGAAAGGGCTCTCCCTGCTTTAACTAGCTTCAGATTTATCTGTTTTAAATCTTGGCTCTCCATGTTACTGCTAAAAACAGTTTGAAGACCCCTCTAATCGAGTTGGTCCCTAGAGCCAGACAGGGGATCAGCTTTAATATTTTGCAGAAGCCCTAGGAAGGGGCAAACCTCCCAGAAGACAGCTCTGGCTCCAAAGATGGACGAAATGAGGCATCCAGAACCAGACTTGAGGTAGGGAGTTGGTCAAGTGCTGGAGGTTTGTTATCTCAGAATAAACTTGATCCAAAGGGCTTTAGCATCAGGAGATCCCTTTGCTTTTCCACTGGGATTGAGGGCTCAGACACCCAAGTGCTGTAAAGCTTCACCCCTCTTGAAGTTTCTGACTCGTCTTTGTCTATTTTTTGTGCCCCCCAACTTTTTTTCAAAATGAAGTTTTCACTTTGAAGGAATTTTAGATTTACAGAAAAGTTGCAGAGATAGTAGAGGTCCCATAAACCCTTTGCCCAGTTTCCCCCGATGTTAATGTTTTACACAGCCATGCCACATATGTCAAAACTAAGAAATTAACATTGGCACTTTACTGTTAAAGTAAACTAAACTTGATTCAGAGTTCACCAGTTTTTTTCCACTAATGTCTTTTTTGTTTTAGGATCCAACCCCAAATCCTCCCCTTGCACAGAGCCCGATGCGACCCATGAACTGCGAGATCTTGATCTGAGCCGAAGTCAGACGCTTAACTTACTGAGCTACCCAGGCACCCTGAGAACCTTCCTTCTTCTGGGGCTCCTCTTAGCTCCAGCCTTGGTTCCCTCCCATACAGACGGATGGTAAAAGGCTCATTCAATGGTAAAAGGCTCTTAGGAATGACTGTGGGCTCTCTGTCCCCAAGGGCCATAAAAATAAGGTGACCAGAAGCACAGATGAGCTGCCCTGCTCCAGACCCTTCCCCTCTAGGGCAGATAACTTAGCCTGAGCTGCCCCGTCATTTGGAGCCCAGAATTTGGCCTGTGACTTCAGAACGCAGCCCCGATTTCTGAGCACAGAACACTTCATAATAAACAGCAGGGAAAGTGAAGCCGAGATGAGCCTACATCTCAGAATTGTTTCCAAATAAAGTGTTATTTTTTTCCTCTCAAGCTCTCCCTGGAGATGACTATGGCGCTTAAAAACCACTAAATATCTCTCCTTGTTTATGACACAGACACCTTCCCATCCTCCCTCTGTCCCTTAGCCTGGTCTCTTTTATAGCAATTACGTGAGTGGTGCTGAATAAGAATCAGAGCAGATGCTAGCAAGCTTGCATGATGGGTCCCCCTCCTAGCAAGAGAGGCTCATGGGAAAGGCTTTGATTTCCTAGAGTCGCAAGATTCGTGGAGAGAAGCTCCCAAGACAAGCAGCAGAGTGGACCCTAAGCCCTGGATTCGGCTGGCTGGGCGCCACGGAGGCAGGGCTGCCAGAAAAATCCATCCTCCTGAACCAGCCATGGGTCACGGCCTTATGAAACCTGCAGCCAATCAGTGTTGTGCTCGGTGTTCTGTGAGGGGATACGGGGAACTGGAATGGCATCTGGGGGAGAGGGGTGTGCAGAGTGGGGGCCAGCCAGTGAGAGGTTAATGGACTGGGGTGGCTTATCCCCAAAGTGAAGGTCAAGGGGAGCTGGCTAATGAGCTTTGCAGATATGAAGCCTTTGTTCTCCATTCCCATTGAAAACAGGGCTTTGGAAAAGGAAGTCCCCTTCCAGCCAGAAAGATTGGGGTTGGACACCAGAAAATGACAAGGAGCTGGGAAACACTGCAACACGTGATCCAAGACGACTGTGACCTCATCTGGCCAGAAGGCCCTCCTCTGCAGATTCTGCTTCTTGGGGGTCTCACCCTGGCCAGGCAAAGCCCAGGTGGGGAGGCTGTAAGGGTGGGTGTCTGCCAGTAGGCAGGGATCCCGCATTATCCCTCCTCATGTGTTGGGTGGGGCCAACAGAAGTCCCTGTCCCTAGGGGTGCCTCCAAAAATGTTTTCTTAAGGGCAGATCCTTCCTGGTTCTGGTGTCCCCCTAATGATGATCAGCTGTCCAGAGGAAGGGACAGGGATTCAACGACCTCTGTAGAGCTGGCCAGCTCCAGGATCAGCCACAGAAAGAGACAACTGCTCCCTCCCATCTACCCCTGCCATGGACCTGAGGAATCACAGAGGGGTTGGGCTCCTATCAGGCTGCAGCCCCACGGCCTTTACCAATCGTAAATGGCAATTACACAATGACCCCCCCTCACCTGCTGCTTCACTTCCATCATCTCGGTTCCTTCTACTAGGTGGGGAAGGCACTTGATGGTGGACTTGTGGTTTGCAGAATGTAAGGGGTTGTCCAAAGTCACAGAGCCAGAACCAGAACTGGCCAGAACCCAGGTCCCCAGTGTCAGGCCAAGATGTCCTGTCAGTCCTGTGGTCCAGCCATTTTTTCTTGACCCCTGCACCCTAGTGCCACTGCCCTGGTTCAGGCCCTTGGTAGTTCTCACCGGGACACACAACTTGGTGTCCTGGCCCCACAGTGACTGGTCCACTCGCACCATTTATTCACTGAGGCCAGAATGACCTGGCCAAATTGTAAATCTAATTATAACTCTCCCATGTAATAAAATCAGGCTCCTTGTGGGGGTCTCTAAGACCCTTCTTGACTTGACTCCTCCCTGTCTCGCAGCCTCATCTCCCAGCCCTCCTGGTCTCAACGTTGATCATTTATCCACACACCCTGTGGTTTCATGCCTTTCTTTAGCTAATTTCTATTCGTGCTGGGTTCAGCTCAGATATCATCCTCTCCAGGAAGGCCTCGCTGACCTTCCTTGGAGAGCTAAGTTCTGCTCTCCCCCAACTGCCCTTCCGCCAAAGCTTCCACAGTCTACACAGCACTGGCTTCTCAGTTTGGACTCCTGGCACCCAGTACAGTGCCTGGCACATAGCAGACGTTCAATAGATGTTGAAGGAACTGGACGCCTTGATGCCCTGTAGCTGGGCTTGCCTTCTCTTACAGAGAGCTGTGCCCTGCCTCCTTGCAGAGGAGGGTGGGCAGACTGCCCCTCCCACTGCTCTCTGGAGGCCCAGGGAAATGGGAGTCAGGAGGGAGAGGGCACACTGCACAGGGGAGGGGCCTGCCTCCCTCATCACACTGAGCAGGGGCTCCAAGAGAGGGGAGGGAGAGGAGGAAATGAGACACCGCTGGCAAGGAAACAGGCCAGGAAATTGTCCCTACTAAACAGGAAGCAGGGTGGAGTGCTGGAGGCAGAGCTTCCTGAGGAGTGGGAGGGAGGAAATCTGGCCCTATTCGCTGCCATCGGCTGCTCAGCCCTCAGCACAGTGGAGCAGGGGCTCCACAACCTACAGGAAGGTGTCTTTGCAAACCCTCTCCACAGGCTTTAACCAGAGGGCCCCAGGGGCATGTTAGGAAGTTATGTGATAGTCTGTGGTTTGCACACTGAGACCTGACCAGGAAGCCCCAAGTCACAACAGCCACACAGCTCCCAGAAAGACAGCAGAGCCACCTTCAGAGAGAGGTGGGAGGGGTGGGAAGGAAAGTAGAGGAAGATGTTTGGCCAAGGTAGGTTTGTGTGAATTCTGAGAAATATTGGGTGCCTTGGGAGGGTGGAGGCTGGGAAGCCAGGTGGGGCTACAGGAGGCCTCGACTACGCTCTCTCCTCATCCTCTTCACTGACCCCCTTCCTTGTCACAGGTCCTTTCTCAGCGACAATTTCCCTGACCCCCACACCATATCGATGCTCCCACTGCCTCTCCCTTGTAAAAACCCATCCCACTTATTCAGTATCTTCCCAATGAATAGGCCGGGAGCTCTCTTGAAGCAGAAGACTGTACTTTATTCACCACTGTGTCTCCCATACCTTGTACAGTCCTGTCTACATTATAGATGCTCAGTAAACATGGTCGAATAGATAACCACACGAAGTAATGCTGGAGTATGATGGAAAAGGGAATCTCACAACCAGGCACCAAATCTGGGCCAAGGACAGAGTCAAAGAATGACAAGGTCAACTCTTGCCCAACCTAGAAAAACTGAGGACTTCTTTGCAAGTCTCGCCCACAAGCTGCCTCAGTTTCTTCTACATGAGCCCAGCCAGTAACAGGACTGGCTTGATCATACTCTGTCTTCAGTGTGTCCAAAGCCTTGGACTAACTTGGACTAACCTCAGGGTGAAGGGAAGAGTCCCTGTAATCAGGAAACTCTTGGGCTGATGGGAGATAAAGTGAATGTACTCTTGGCCACCTTTCCCAGCCTGCTGGGAGAGCTGGGGTCCAAGGCTAGGAAGAGGCAATAACAAAGCTAATATTTATGGAATACTCACCACGTGCCAGGCATTGCTCCCCACATTTTACATGGATCATCTCATTCCATCTTCACAAAACCCCACAAGGTAGATAATGTTATCCTTCTCATTTTATTTACAGCTGAGAAAACTGAGGCAGAGAGAGGGTAAGGCACTTGCCTAAATCACACAACTAAGGAGTGGGGTGGGTAATACTTCAGCCAGGCTGCTGGCCCTGAGCCAATGTTCTTTTTTTTTTTTTTTTTGAAGTAGGCTCCATGCCCAGCCTGGAGCCCAGTATGGGCCTTGAACTCACAACCCTGAGATCAAGACCTGAGCTGAGATCAAGAGTTGGACGCTTAACCGACTGAGCCACCCAGCACCCTGTGAGCCAATGTTAACTGCTACCCCACAGTATGTCTGGTACAAGTGACACACAGAACTGCTGAGGAGACAATCATGAAGGGGACTTGACCACAGTTAGTTAATAACTTCATAGAGGAGGAGAGTGCTGGGTCAGGAAGGATCGGGCTTGGCATGGGAGGTACTACACCGAGTGGGGAAAGACATCCAGGTTGCAGGGGAGATGCATCAATGACTGAGGGAAGAGGGAATGGTGCTCTCACGTCAGCCAAAAAGCACTGGGATGGGGTTTCTTCCCCTTTCCCTTGGCTGGAAGACAGTAGCCACAATGGAGGACCAACCTCCAACCCTGATCCCCACTTGCAGTGACAGCGTGCACAGCTGCTCCAGCCTCCCACCACTCCACTCCCAGTCCCTGCCTGGAGAGGAGGGACCTGGTGAATGAAGGTGAGAAACAGACTCAGCATCCCTTGGCACTTGGGGGAAGGAGGGAGCTTGAAGGAAGCACTTGAAGAAAAGGTGGTGTATGGGATCAGAGCAGAGGGAAGGAGAGAGCTAGGTGGGGCTTCTGAAGATACGGGTTATTCAGACAGCTTCAACTGGGAGGGCAGGTGTGGGAACGAAGCACCCAGTGTTCAGTTTTAAGCATCCGTCTGACTGAAGTGCCTTACACTACTCTTACACGTCCTGTACCTAGTATAGCACTGAAGCCCATAGGAGAGCCTGGCAAAATCGAGCTTACACGAGTGAGCTTTGTGGCAGAGGCAGACACCAGAGATGGCCTGGGTTATCAGCACGTAGGATTGGAGGTCCCACTAATGAGTGTCTCAGGACCTTCCCGGTCTCCTGGAGACTTGGTGGTGTGCCTGGACATTAGTCCTCAGCCATGTGGCAGGCCCAACGGCCAAACTGTTGGTTATACAGTTAGCACTAGAAGCATGAAGCAATCTTCAAACGCTTTCATGTCGCTCTCTTGGGGGGCTTCCTAGCGGTGCTTGGCACAGGACATGTAAGAGTAGTGCGAAGTACCTCATACTTCACTAATGTTTAGAATTGAACACTGGTGCGTTTCTTTTTTTTTAATTTTTTTTTTCAACGTTTATTTATTTTTGGGACAGAGAGAGACAGAGCATGAACGGGGGAGGGGCAGAGAGAGAGGGAGACACAGAATCGGAAACAGGCTCCAGGCTCTGAGCCATCAGCCCAGAGCCTGACGCGGGGATCGAACTCACAGAGCATGAGATCGTGACCTGGCTGAAGTCGGACGCTTAACCGACTGCGCCACCCAGGCGCCCTGTACACTGGTGCGTTTCTTGAACGCCCTGTTCCTTCTCGTCTTCTGCCAATGCCCTTTCCACAGAGAAAATGCAAAGGTTCTCTGCTCAGTGTTCCCTTTCTTAGGGTTGGCCCTCTCAACTGGCCTCTTAATCCTTGGAGCAGAGAAGGGGCAGTGAGCCACAGAG